GCCTGGGGTGTTTCCCATGAGCTTCGGGGATGAATCTTTCCCACCCCCACTGGAAATGAGGCTGAAGTTTAAACTCGCTTACTGTACATTTAGCTTTTTACAAAAGCTAAAACTTATTGCAAGTGTTTCCTTATGTCAAGGTTGCATTTGAACAAATAGTCAAACATGCAAAGAAACAAATATTCAGTCCAGTCGCTCCAGCCTATCCATTCCCCACTTATAAAATCAGCGTGACTATCGACTGACCTAAATAAAATGATGGAAGAGCCACATGCTCTTTGTTAGTGAGCAGATGACAAAGGACAGGAGACGGCTTAGAAAATGTTATCCAGCCTGGGCGACAGGGCGCAGCTGGCTGAGTGCCTCCATGCCCAGGGGCAGCTCCGTCCCCGGGGGGGGGTGCAGGAGGCAGCCGGCCAATGTTTCTCTCTCACCGACGTTTGTCTCTCTCTCCCTCTCCCTTCTCTCTCTGAAATCAATTTAAAAACAACAACAACATTATCTGGACCAGCTGCCTGCAGAGAGCTCCAATTTCCCAACCAAACGTGAGATTCTCTCTCGGAGGAAGGGACAGCTGGGAGCACCCACAGGAGACCCACCTGTTCCATCCGGATGCGACCACCCCCAGGGACGCCGTGGGCGGCCATAAGCTGCTGTTTCGCCTTCCGCACGTTTTCGTGAATGACCGCCTCCTGCGACAGGCCAGACAGAACCGCGTCAGAGCCGCCAAAAGGGCAGCCGGGATGTCAAATGTTCAGAGCACACAGGCCCTGGATGACGTCGGCCTGGCTGGGAAGCAGGTGGCTCGGCCAGCTGACGGGAGGCCTCGTGTTGCGGAAGAGGGAGCGGTGCTGGAGGCTTCTGGACAAACAGCCACTAACCAGGCTCCTGCCTCGTAAGACTTAGCGCTCGCGAGCTCCTAAAGCACGAGCAGAGAGACGCTCACAGGCCAGGGTGTTGGAGGAACAAACGTGACACCGTTACATGTCTGGTTTTGACTAAACTCTGGAACACGCAGACTTTCTCCCCAGAACTCAGGGGATTTGTTCTGTTTCTAAGAGGAAAGTCCAGCTCTGCTTGGACTCGCTGAGGGAAACAGAATTAGCAGAGGAAAGCAACTGAAGAGGAACCCAAAGTAACAAAGCAACTGCTGAGTCACCGGAGACGTCCCATCTCTCCGCCAGGGACAACCTTTCCCACACGTTACATGTTCTGCCAGCGGCTGCAGGGTTATCACAAAGGAGGTGACACGGGATCAGCAACGGAGAAAATCCCGACATAGACCCTCCGGAACGCCAGCCTCAATCGGTCCCGCGAAACCCACTCTCCCTAATTCGCCCGCGAGCCCCCGCCAGCCGGGCTTCCTCGTGGGACCCCCGAGGACAGAGGCCGGCCCCTCCAGGGCGGGCACCGCGGGCTGTGTGCGTGCGCTTGGGCGCGTGGGCAGGTCGGGCGCCCGCGGAGCCTGCGGGAGGGAGACGGCTGAGCCCGGCGGGGACTGGACTTGCTTGTTTTCCTCAAGCACACCCGTCACGTGTGACTAAATGGCATCGGGCTCCCGGGCTCTGGGACACCAGGAGCCTAGGCATTGACAAAAGTAAGTGGGAGCAAGGCAGGGACCGGGGGGGGGGGAGACGGGAAAGAGGAGAGGAACCGATACAAGAAAAGAAATGGAGCTAAAGAGAGGGGAAGAGAGGGGAAGAGAGGGGAAGAGACCCGAGAGGCAGGGCACAGACGGGCAGCGAGGGAGCTCTGAGAAACAGGGACTGGAGAGAGACAGGGGAAGATGGGGAGACAGATCGGAGATCCAGAGATCAGAGAGATCAGAGAGACGAGAGAGACGAGAGACCGAGAGACCGAGAGACCGAGGGCAGAGAGGAGGTCCAGGGATGGTGGGAGAGGCGAGCTGTGAAACCGATGAGAGACGGTCAGAAACCGGCAGGAAAATGAGAGACTTTCATAAAAAGGGACAGAACATGAGAGGCAGGTGGACAGACAGAGAGACCAAGGGGTCTGAGTGGTGGCCAGAGGCAGCCGCAGCCGGTGTTATTCTGCTTAACTGCCCCCACTCCCGCCCCGTGTGCCGCCCCGAGCTGTCCTCGGTGGTGGGGAGCCCCTTGTTCCCTCACTGGGGGCCTCCACGAAGGCGCAGGGCCCTGTGTTCTCCCAAGCAAACAATTACACCTGAGGATAAGCTACGTCCACAGCTCATTTTAAAGGCTGCCGTGTCCAGAGCTCCTCCCCTCCCCTCACGTCCCCCGACGGAGCCCCTGCCAGGCTGCGTGTCGCTGCGAGATTTTCCTCTGCTCTGGTCGAGGGACCTCACAGCTCCACCTGCGTCTCAAGGCCAGTTTACCCTCAGGGAGGGACACGGATGCTGGAGGGGTGGCTTCGCATGTATAGCCGGGCTCCGGGGAGGGGGGTATTTTCTGGGCTCTGGGTCTGGGGGGTATTGTCATTCCCTAAGGAATCCATAACCTCTTCTAATTAAACAAATAATAGAAAAGATTATTTTTAAACTTATTTGCTATCAAAGGAACATCCAATGCACTAAACACCCAGAACCTAAAGCTCTTAACACCTGTTCCGCCTTTCTGAACGAAGCGAGTGGCCTTATCTCCAGGTTAAAACCCATTAGCAGAGACAGAGCCAAAGAGATGTTCAAAACGTATTTGTTTGGCTCCACAGTTAGGCTCTCCGAGTGGACGACAGATGTGACACCGAGCGTCAGTGACCCGCACGTCAGTGCTACAGCTGTGCCTCTTAGAAAACCTGCCCAGGCCCCCCCGCGTTGCTGGGAGAGGGAGGAAAGCACATGCATGGAGGAAGGAGAGAGGCCGGGGGGG